TAATCCTCAGTTTCCTCATCTATAAAATGGGGATGATAATAGGACTGATAAGAAGCCTTTTTCCTGTTCCATGAATACCATGCTTACTCCCACCTCAGGGCCCCCACAGCCTAGAATTCTTTTCCCACAGATCTTTTCATGGCAGATCCCTTCTCCTCATCCTTAACTGAACTCAAATGTCACTTTCCAATCTAAAAAATAATCTCCCATCAATTTGTCTCATCCCTGGGTTTTATTCTGGATACTATCACTGTCTGAAATTCTCTTGTACATTTTTATATTTGCTTATTGTCTGTCTCTCCCACCACACAATAAGCCCCATGATAAAAGGGAACTTATACATTTTGTTAATCCTTGCATCTCCAGCACATCATACAGTGCCTGGCACATAGTAAATGCTCTGTTAACATTTGCTGAATGAGTGGACCCTCAGTCAATAGCTAACATTCATTGAGAACTTACCACATGCCAGGCATTGTTCTAACCACTTTATAAAAATTATCCCACTTGATTCTCAAAACAACCCTCTGAGGCAGATATTCTTATTAACCCATTTTATAAAGAAGAAAACTGAAGGGCAGAGAGATCGAATAAATCTGCCCAAAGCCAAAAAGGCAGGAAGTAGTAGAACTAGGGTGAAACCCCAGCAGCCCAGCACCAGACTCCACACACTTAATCCTGAGTCCTGATGCTTTTGGCTTTGATGGGTAAGCATCACACCTGATTTCACAGCTTCTATTTATGAAGCTCTGTATATGATTAGATCAAAGTAGCCACACTTTTGACCCACACTCTCTTCCAAATCCTTTACCCTTCATTCTATATCTGTTCACCAGCCCCTCTTGTATCACTATGTGTGTTCTCGTTTATCTCTTTAATACTTAGCTACTTGTGTGTTTTTCTATACTTTGAGTGGAGATTCTAAATGTGTGTAATACCAATTTGTTTCTACATGGGCACACAGAAGGTAAATGCTAAATACTTTTTGAAAAGATTTCTAAATGAATAAAACATTTTGGAATACTTTTCAACAGAACACAGCAAGACTTTAGTAAAAGAGAGCTATAAATGCAAAAGTATAGGGAGAGCAAGTAGAAAATCAATATAAGCATTCCTTATAAACCCAACTCTTCATGCTTTTCTCACTTCAGGGCCTTTGCATATGCTGTTTCCCTTGCCTGAAACATACTTTTTACTCCCACCCTTTTTACCTACTTACTTTCTACTGGTTCTCCAAATTTCACCTTGAACATCATTTCCTCAACAAAGCTTTTATTGACCACTAATAACACTTACAGCTTTCAATTATACATTTTCTGCTGTGGCTCTTCAGCTGACATTTTTCTTGCCTAAAATAAGCTCCATGAAGGCAAGACCATCCATGTCTATTTTGTTCAACATCCCCTCCCAGGGCATAGCTCACAGTCAATGCATAAAAACAATGCTGAATGCATGAATAAACTTTTGAAATTTCAGGTTTACAAATACAAAGAACTTTGCCTTAATGGGACCTCTTTTCTTAAGAGTGACTTAAAGTAGAATTCACTCATTATTTTTCTCTTTTGCATACAGTGTAATATACCTGCATGGTACCCCCACCCCTACTTGAATTACCAATATTGTAGAGTGGTTTAGAGCATGGGTGTTGGTCCCAGGTTTGCATCCTGGCTAATTTATATAATCAGTACCTTAAATTTCCACCATTTCAAAATGTTATTTCAAAGTGCCTTGAACAAGAGCAAGAAAAGCACAGACATAAAACAAAAACAAAAAAACTGACAGTAGCAAATACTGAGAGGATACGGAGCAACTGGGATCTCATACTCTGCTGCTGGGAGTGTAAATTAGTAAAATCACTTCATAGAGCAATTCAGCTGAATCTGGTAAAGATAAAGGTGCACATACTCTAGAACATAATACATGTACTTCTACATACATACTACCCAAGAGAAATTCTCACATATAAATACTTCTCATGGAGAGTCCTATCAAGTTGTTAACTACAGCAGTTTTTTTTTTTTTAAGATTGTATTTGAGAGAGAGAGAATGAGAAAGAGCGAGCACGAGAAGGAAGAGGGTCAGAGGGAGAAGCAGACTCCCTGCCGAGCAGGGAGGCCGATGTGGGACTCGATCCCGGGACTCCAGGATCATGACCTGAGCCGAAGGCAGTCACTTAACCAACTGAGCCACCCAGGCACCCAACTACAGCAGTTTTTAATAGCAAAACCTTGGAACCAATCTAAATGTACATTGTTTTATACACACACACACAGACACACACACACACATCTACCCAATGTGTATATATACATATAGACATATATATGTGTGTATATGTGTCTATATAATAAGCGTGTATATAGAAATATATAGAGACGTGTATATACGTATAGATATATCTCTATGTATGTATATATGAAGATAAATTATAGTAAGTTTATACAATGGAATGCTATATAGTCATTAAACTGAGTGGATGAGAGCTACATATACCAACAAAATAGGTCTCAAAAACATAATGCTGAGTGGAAAAAGCAGGATGTAGAATGGACAGTTCACTATAAAGTAAGGGGATGCAAATGGGGCCCTGAAGATTACAGCACAGTGGTTGCCTCTAGGGAAAGAAAGGAGGAGGGAGGGGAAAGAATGGGCTTGGGGCAATTTCAAAGAGGACTTCAGTTGTATCTATATTGTGAGTTCTTTAAAAAAAAAAAATAGCTAAAATGTTCCTCATCAAATTTTTAAAATTTTACAACATAGGACACTACTAAGAGAGTGAAAAGATGGCACCTGTGTGGCTCAGTTGGTTAAGCATTTGACTCTTGATTTTGTCATGATCTCAGGGTCATGAGATCAAGCCCTGCATCGGGCTCTGCCCTGGAGCCTGCTTAAGATTCTCTCTCTCCCTCTCCCTCCACCCTCCCACCACCCCCTCACCCCCGCTCATGCTCTCTCTCTCAAAAAATTAAATTAAATTAAAAAATAACTGAAGCAAATATGGCAAAATGTTAAAATTTGTTTAATCTGAGTGATGAGTGTCCCAGGATGTGTATGTTACAAGACAATTTTATAAATGAACTATTGTATAATATTTTTTTTGTATAATATTTTAAAAGGTGAAATTGAGAAAGGGAGATCTAGATGCCAGCTCTGTCACTGGACTTCAGAAAAGGGACATAAATTCTCTGAGAATTTTGCAAAATAGGATTAACAGTGTTGACTGAAAATGAATGAAATTAAATGTGCAGAATGACTTCTAGATATTACCCATCAGAATATCATTTTAGAATGAGTCCCTAATGGGGCACCTGGGTGGCTCAGTCGTTAAGCGTCTGCCTTCAGCTCAGGTCATGATCCCAGGGTCCTGGGATCGAGCCCCACATCGGGCTCCCTGCTCCGTGGGGAGTCTGCTTCTCCCTCTCCCACTCCCCCTGCTTGTGTTCCCTCTCTCGCTGTGTCTCTCTCTGTCAAATAAATAAATAAAATCTTAAAAAAAAAAAAAAGAATGAGTCCCTAAAGACTTTCCAGATGTGTCTAATTCAGAGAAACATTTGTTTTTAAAATTGATCAGAAATTATATACATGCATTTTCAGGGGCGCTTGGCTGGCTCAGTCTGAAGAGCGTGTGACTCTTGAACAGAGTCATGAGTACACACTGGGTATACAGATTACTTAAATAAATAAAAACTTAAAAAAAAGAAAGAAAGAAATTATATGCATACATTGTCAAAACAAACTGGACCCCAAAAAAATAATTGCTACTGTTTATTAAAAAACTATATACATGCATTATATAGACATGTACAAAGACAAACTATTTATTACTGTGATGGCCCTGTGGGAGGGGTACTTGGGGGGTTGAACAACAAGAAGGGAAATTTACTTCTCTCTGCTATTATTTTTAATAATGTACCATATTGTGGACTACAACTCTTCCTCGATTTATGATGGGGTTACATCCTGATAAACCCATCATAAGTTGAAAATGCACTTAATACACCTAACCTACCGAACATCATAGTTTAGCCTAGCCTACCTTAAACATGCTCAGAACACTTATATTAGCCTACAGTTGGGAAAAATCATCTAACACAAAACCTATTTTATAATAAAGTGTTGAGTGTCTCATGTAATTTATTGAATGCTGTACTGAAAGTGAAAAACAGGATGGTCGTACAGGTACAGACGGCTGTAAGTTGTGTCAGTTTTCAGTGCTCGTGATCACGTGACTGACTGGGAGCTCTGGCTTGCTGCTGTTGCCCAGCATAACAAGAGAGTATCGTAACGCATATCGCCAGCCTGGGAAAAGATCCAAATTCAAAATCCCAAGTACAGTTTCTACTGAATGCCTACAGCTTTTGTACCATAGTAAAATCAGAAAATCGTTAAGTCGAACCATCATAAATCAGGGACCATCTGCACCTACTCTAAAAATAAATAGAATTTATCTTTAAACTAATCTGAAGGCCATGATCTTCTCCACGCCTTCAATACTAAATCTATGTAAAATGGAAAGGTCCTAAAATCCAGGTTGCAAAAAGGTTCTTAAGAGGTCAGTCTCCTTCCTGAACACATGAAGGAGGGAAAGCCGTCCCACCCCGTATTTTCCTGCATGCACTTGGACAAAAGAGCGAGCATGGGATTTGGAATTAGGGGATCTAGGTTTGGTTCCTGTCACCAGCACTTACTAAGTGTGTGACTCTGAGTTCCTTAAGCCCTCTGTGCCCCAGTTTCATTTCTGAAGTGAGGACAATGGCAGCATCACCTCCAATGATTGTGTGAGGAATAAATAAACTACAATATGAGCACAGAATTTTGTCAAAATAGTATCCAGATGGCTGTATGAGATACAATTTGTAGTGCAGAGATTGTTCCTCAAAAGCACTGGTTCGGTCCCTTTGGCTGCCATGAGAGTACCCATAAATGTATGCCTATGGCCCCAAAGTAGCCAATAAAGTCATCTCATTCCAGAGATAAACCAGATTCTCTTCTCTCCACAGCAAATATCCTGACAGTGATCATCCTCTCTCAGCTGGTAGCTAGAAGGCAGAAGTCCTCCTACAACTATCTCTTGGCACTTGCTGCTGCTGATATCTTGGTCCTCTTTTTCATTGTGTTTGTGGACTTCCTGTTGGAAGATTTCATCTTGAACATGCAGTTGCCTCAGGTGGCCAATAAGATCATAGAAGTGCTGGAATTCTCATCCATCCACACCTCCATTTGGATTACTGTTCCATTAACCATTGACCGTTATATAGCCGTCTGCCACCCACTCAAGTACCACACGGTCTCCTACCCAGCCCGCACCAGGAAAGTCATCGTAAGTGTTTACATCACCTGCTTCCTGACCAGCATCCCCTACTACTGGTGGCCCAACATCTGGACTGAAGACTACATCAGCACCTCCATGCATCACGTCCTTATCTGGATTCACTGCTTCACTGTGTACTTGGTGCCCTGCTCTATCTTCTTCATCTTGAACTCAATCATTGTGTACAAGCTTAGGAGGAAAAGCAATTTTCGCCTGCGTGGCTACTCTACAGGGAAAACCACTGCCATCTTGTTCACCATTACCTCCATCTTTGCCACACTCTGGGCCCCCCGCATCATCATGATTCTCTACCACCTCTATGGGGCGCCCATCCAAAACCGCTGGCTGGTGCACATCATGTCCGACATTTCCAACATGCTGGCCCTTCTGAACACAGCCATCAACTTCTTCCTCTACTGCTTCATCAGCAAGAGATTCCGCACAATGGCGGCTGCCACACTCAAGGCCTTCTTCAAGTGCCAGAAGCAACCTGTACAGTTTTACACCAACCATAACTTTTCCATAACAAGTAGCCCCTGGATCTCGCCGGCCAACTCCCACTGTATCAAGATGCTGGTGTACCAGTATGACAAAAATGGAAAACCTATAAAAGTATCCCCATGACCCCATAGGCTTGGCACCTAGTGCCTCTGTCTAATCTATTTCCCAGATGGGAGGGTAGCCCACTTAAGAGTGCTAATCTGATTTCCTGTCTCCACGGACTGAGCAATTCTCAGATTGGTAGATGAGAAAAGATGGAAGAGAAGAAAGAAAAGCATCAGTCTTGTTTTCATTTATGCATTCATTTTCACAATGTGACTTGACAGCAAAAGTTCCTACCAGTTTGAAGATACCTTTGGAGATTGTGTCTTCATCCTGTGGCCAGTGAGGACACATAATAAACAGTCCATGACTTTGCGCCTTGGCACCATCTACAGTCATTGGGAACCGCTCATTTATGTGACACACCAAGCCACGGTAGCAGGTAGCTGATTTCACACTCTTCTTCCAAGAGCTGAGGTCAACCATCGCTTCCCTGTGCCATCCCCAGCAGCTAACAATGCTGACCAATTTGGGATTTTTCCAAGGTGCCCTTTGTCTTAGAGAAGGTTGTGGTCTTGAAGTGTCCCTGGAACCCTAAACTACAGAATGACACTGTGGGGACAAGGGAGTATTAATCCCATCCAAACTCTGGCCAGAGCTTCTTTGGAAAGGCTCCAAATCAACATAACTACGACCCTCAGACCTGGGTCTAAAATGCAGTCTTTCTATTCGCCATTATGTATAGATTTTACCTATCTCCTCCAAAATAAAGACCCCGCCTGGTGGGGGGAAAGGAGGATCTCTTGAGCCCAGAAAAACAAAAAAATAAGCCCACTCTTGCCATTGTTTTGATCCATCCTTGTGTCAGCTGTGTATGATCCCTTTACTCAAGAGCTTTCTTATTGCGGTACTACTCAAGCTTCCTGGAGAAGCCCTTTACGTGTAGATTTGCCAACCCTGCCTCCTTGCTTGCTGAAGCCCTCACCAAATTGTTTTATTTGAAGTGACTTCCAAACAGGATTTAATTTTTAAGGGTCAGGAACTGTAGCTCTCCAGGTGTGAAGGGAGGCATTCTCCACTCTGCCCCACAGTCTAGCTGGCATTGCTATTCAGCCACAAAGGCAGATATAATTGACATGGAAAGGTGCCCATATTGTTTGCTAGTCTGCCCTTTGATGCATATGGCTCATTAGGGTGGTTCCAGCTTTCAGTGAAGCTATTTAATCCAGATCTTTTGCAAAGTGATAAAATATGAATCTATTTGTTCTCCCTTTGCCTGTCCAAGGCAAGAACAGCTCTACAATGGAATTAATAGGGGCTTCCCTGGGATTTACCACTCATGTGTGCACACACACATGCAGACACATGCTTGATTATAGTAGGCGTCTATGTATCCTGTGATGTGTTTTAAAACCCATGCTGGAGTTCCTCTTACTTAGCCTTTTTAAAAATTTCTCTTCCAGGTTCCCAGTATTTTTCCTGTTTTGGAAGAAATCTCCCAAAATGATTTTGGAATTGTATGATATTTTTGGTGACCAAACAAAAAGCAGACAGTCCTCCTGGAACACTTGGTTCCTCAGGTTGGATTCTTACTACATTTTTAGTCCTAAATTGGAAGGCATGTCTACCCTTTTTAAGGGAATTTGCAATAAATGAGTGTGGTAGAAAAGGCCACTGTGCAACACATGCCCTAAACTTTAGTCAATGCCCTCAATACTAATTCAATATAATTTTAGGTTACAGTAGTCCTGATGATCCTAATTCCTACTCCTTCTAAATGACTGCAGTAGTCTCATCTTACCCAAAGATTAGATTCTAAGTCAGTGCAAAAGAAAAAAATCTGGCAGAGCCAAAGTTACCTCTGCAAAGTCATCAGGAAGGAGCCATGTTGGAGACCTCATTCTATCCCTTATAAAATCTAACTCAGCGAAGTTTTTCTCCAGCAATAGAACAGATTACGTAGATCAAGGACAAGACAAAGTTGGTGTCCACTTAGGGACTATATTATATGACTCTAATGTATCTTAATGAGAACATTAAGATCACACTGATACAGCAAAATGCTCCCATTAGAAGAGGTTCATGGAAATTGTTTGAGGAACAAGGAGGTTAGTATGTCCTATGTCACACTATCGCCAGGGCATATGTGCATCCCGTGGAATGGTAGGCAGACTCCTCTACATCCTTTAAATTACATTTCTTTCTGTTTCTCTTTTGCCAAGCACGTGTAGTCTGAACATGTCGTGTTCATTAAATGTGTGTATGATGCGATTCCACCATACCCCCTTATGAATGAACATTGACCAAAGGCTACCTACACCGAATATATATATATATATTTATATATATATTTATTTTTTAAACACATAGCTCAAAAAATGCTAATTTGAGCTATATGTGGATGAGTCACAGTGCAATAGCTATAATGATTAAGCAATTCCTCTTTAAGAATGTATGCAAGATGGAAAATATGTGTGTGGGTCTCAGTGCTCTCTGCTCCACATTTTTTATTGTATGTAAAAACTGTTGATTTTAAAAAGTTTAAAAAACTGGGTGTGCATTTGGAATGTTCTCCTCATACACTCATTTATTACTTCTCTTACCAATAGAGGCTGTACCAAGTAGTATTGTGATCTTTTTTCCTTCTATATTTTATATTTTGATAAATAATATTTAAAAGAGGTCTGATTCTTGAAGGCATTTCAATGAGTTGTCTTCTGGTTAAAATGCATAAGAGTGCCCACTGGGTTAGGTTGATACATATGTCCTAAACTTTATTTCAGATAATCTATGGACTTTTAATTTATCATTATTTATAGTAATAACTGTGGACAATGATAAGGTTTAAAAAAAAAAAAACAACTTTTAAGCCTTTTCTTTCAGGCCAGTTTTGGAAACAGAGCCTTGAATTTTGAAGCCTGTCTTGTAAACAGCTGCTGTTGATGGCATTTAAGCAATTGCCTTATATCAGGTTTTTTGTGAAAGACTGTTAACTAGCATCTCTCTTGTGTGATTTGTGTCCTTGGCTGGACATGCAGTGATGCTACCTACACATGTACATGCTTTTTATTCGACAGCTCAAGCACTGAACTGTCTCATGGGGAAAGAAATGAGGAGCATGACAGACAAACCATAAAAGACAGACCATGAGAAGGTATGAACTTCCATTTTGCAAACATTCTGCAAGTGGAAAATTATTTTGCACAGTTGGTGCCTACTGGTCCAACATGAGGGGCCTATCTAAAGTGAATTAAAGACTATAATGTTGGCTATTCCAGTTCAAAGAATGGAATAGAATGTTACCATAGAAGAATAGTAAATGTTCATATTTTCTTAATTAGATAACATATTGTGTTTGAACTTGTTTGTATTATAATAAACTCTAACATGGTGCACTCTTGGTGTTTGGAATTTGCATATATGTTCAAGCTATGGCAGAACTTGGACTAAAAATTTTTAAATGAGCATTTTCCTTATGCTTTATGCTGGTACTAGAATGAGACCTGAGTGCCACCTGTCCCTTAGTTAGCCAGATATATTTCAGAATTTAAGACCACTGAACTCTGTTTCCTATAATCCTAATTAGGTAGTTTACTGGGTATAAATCTGAATTCTCTTCGACTTCATCCTCTACATGTCTTCGAGACAGTGATGGCTATAATCTAAGTGGAGAACTAGCACAATGGCTAAGAGCTTGGACTTTTTTTCTTTTCATGACTTGTTTGTATCTTTTGACCCCCTTCACCCATTTTTCCCACCTTCATCCCCCACCTCTGGCAACCACCAACTTGTTTCCCATATCAGAACTTTGTTTTTGTTTTGTTTTTTAAATTCCACATACAAATGAGATCATGCAGTATTTGTCTTTTTTTTTTTTAAGATTTATTTATTTGAGAAAGCGAGAATGAGAGAGTACATGAGATGGGGAGGGTTAGAGGGAGAAGCAGGCTCCTCCCTGAGCAGGGAGCCCGATGCGGGACTCGATCCCAGGACTCCAGGATCATGACCTGAGCCGAAGGCAGTTGCTTAACCAACTGAGCCACCCAGATGCCCCAGTATTTGTCTTTTCTGTCTGACTTATTTCACTTAGAGTAAAGCCCTCAAGGTCCATCCGTGTTGTTGCAAATGGCAAGATTTCATTCTTTTTTATGGGTGAATAGCATTCCACTGTGTATATACACCACATTTTCTTCACCCATTCATCTATTAATGGACACTTAAGTGTTTTCATACATTATAATAGCTTGACAATGGGCATGTCCCAGCTCCCCCATTTACGAGATGGGTGGCCTTTAACAATTCCCGTAAGATCTCTAACAGACTGTCCTCAGATAGAAAATGGTGCAAAATTTAATTTTTTCCAGTTGCGTGCAAGGTAAATAGAGGCTCTCAAAGTCAGGAAATCAAGGTCTGGAGTCAGTTATGGCAGGCTATAACTTTGCTGGCTGTGCAACTTCCTAGCTATTTGGACTTGGGCAATGTTCTCAATCCCTCTGAGTCTCAATTTCTTCTCCATAAAATAGGGCTAACAAGTAATTCCAATACATTCCTCATGGGGTGATTATTAATGGTAGAGCTAAAAAGAGCTTCCAGTTGCACATCATTTTACAGGTAAGGATACTAGGCCAAAAGAGGTTAATGATTTTGTTCAGAGTAGTCACTAAACACTTCCTGCTTTCCACTTTACCTCACTGCCTTCTCTGCAAGATTCTGACTCCTCTCCCCTCCACAAAAGATCACATTATTTTGTGCCCTTTTTAGACCTGAGTATATTGCATAGTTTTCCAACCTTTCAAACCCAGGTCATCCAAGCATGAGATATATTATAACAGCATCATAATTAAAACACTTGGCTTGACCTTTCCCTGAGGGAGAATTTTTTTTAAGTTGACTCTCTGGAATCCTAACCATAGCTCTTAAACTAGCTATGCATTTCCCACACAAACCACCATCAATTCTGACAGCCACCCACAAACTATTGTCACAGTCTATCTTTGCGTCAACTTGGAGAATGAAAGTAACTTACAAGTTGAGAGGGAAGTACAGAAAAGCAAGGAATTTGCTGAGAAGGTGGCAAGCAG